TTTCTTTCTTTCTTTCTTTCTTTCTTTCTTTCTTTCTTTCTTTCTTTCTTTCTTTCTTTCTTTCTTTCTTTCTTTCTTTCTTTTTGAGACAGGGTTTCACTATGTAGCTCAGGCAGGCCTTAAGCTTACTTTGTAGCCCAGGTTGGCCTCCAACTTACAACGATCCTCCTGTCTCAGCCTCCTGAGTGCTGGGATTACAGGTGTATGCCACCATGCCTGGCTAGTTTGGCAGTTTCTTAGCTTTTATTCTTTCTTTCAGCAGATCCTTACTATGTCACCTGGGCTCCATAGCCTTTGGAGGAGCTGCGACTATAGATATATTTCACAAGGCCTGGCTCTGGCAGCTCACCCTCTCAGAGGCTGAAAGCTCAGATAGCACAATGCAAGCTCTGGCAGGGTCCTAGTAGGAGGCAGAGAATATCTGGAAGGAAGAGATCTCATTGCCCAATAGGAGGCCAGAGAAGGCCTGGTCCCAGGGTCCTTCTGAAGGTCCAGCCCCTCTTGCTCTAGTACCTTTTTTTTTTTTTTTTTAATGTATTTGGTACAGGGTCTCACTACACGGCTCAGACTCATAGTGATCCTCTTGTTTTCAGCCTCCGCACCTGGTCTCAGTGGCCAGCTCAGAATGCCCAGGGGTGGGGCCAGCGAGGCATGTGATACGGGGGATTGAAACCATTCTCTGTGTTTGCCTAAGCAGGTGCTCAGTCTGCTGAACTATCTCACTGGCCCTTGCTCTAGTACCTTACATTAGGCTGTACTTCTCAAAAGTCCTCCACCATATTAAGGACCTAGAGTCCAACAAAGGAAACTGGGCGGTGTGGGGGCGTATTATACCCAAGCCTCAGCAGATTTCAAGGACATCATGGTAAGGAAAAAAACCTAATCTTGCTAGGCATGGTGGCCTGTAATCCCAGCACTCCAGGAGGCTGAAGCAGGAGGATAGCAAGTTTGAGTCTATCCTGGGCAATTTAGTGCTTTAGGGAGACCACCATCTCAAAATAAAACATTGTGGCTGGAGAGATAGCTTGGTGGTCCAAGCGCCTGACTGGAAAGCGCAAGAATCTGGGTTTAATCTCTGGTGTCGCTTGCTGTACCAGCCTGATAACCCCCGGTGCATCATGCTGGCCCCAAAACCCAGCATAGTGACGCACACCTGTAATCCCAGCACTGGGGAGGCTGAGACAGGAAGATCACTATGAGTCCAAGCTGCATTGTGAGACCCTGTACCAAATAAATAAATAAATAAATAAATAAATAAATAAGATACTAAAAAAATTAAAAAAAAAACATTAAAAGGTCGCTGGAGATGGAGCTCAGTGAGAAGTTCTGGAGTTCAACCCCTTAGTCCAATCAATCAATCAATCAATCAATTAATGGATCAATCTACCAATAACTTGTGTGTGTGTGTGTTGAACTGGGGATTGAACTCAGGTCCTTGAGCTTGCCAGGGAAGCACTTATTCTACTGAGCCATCTCCCCGGCCCTAACCAATAACCTTTTAGAAAGCTAATTTTCAAAGGTTAAACATTGCATGACTCTATTCATACAACACCCTTGAAGTTACGAATAGTTTTGTGCTATTAGGAATTAAAATCATGGTTCTCTACCACTGAGCTACATCCCAGCCCCACCCCATCCTCCCCTTTTTTTGAGACATAGTCTTACTGTGTAGTTCAGGCTGGTCTTTAGTTCACGATGTACTCCAGGTTGGCCTTGAACTTGAAGCAATCCTCCTGCCTCAGCCTACTGAGTTCTGGGATTATAGGCATGGGCCACTCTCGGCCCATTTCATTTTTTTTTTTTTT